TTTTCTTGAGATGAGCAAGTCAGGCTGGGGTGGCAGACCCAGAGTGTTAGGGACCCAGATTCCTTCTGTCTGTTTTGCTGTCCCACCAAGTTGGTGAGCAGCATCAACCTCATGGCCCAATGTGGCTGCTTACTCTTTGCCCATCACCTCCCACATTCCAGCCAAAAAAAAGCCACAAAAGAGGGACTACCGGCCAAGGAGATGGCTCAGTGGAATAAGTGCTTCCCTGGGAAGCACAAGGACCTTAGTTCAATCCCCAGTTCTGCAAAAAAAGAAAGAAAGAAAAAAAAGAAAAAGCAAAAAAAGAAAAGAAAAGAAAGAAAAAATGAGGGACTACCAAATAATAAATAATTTTTAAAAAAAAAAAAAAAAGAGGGACTACCCCTCGTCTTCTCCTGAAAGTCATGCATACCTCTCTCCTTTCCTTCTATTTCATTAGCCAGGAGTTAGTAACACAGCCATGCACCTGGAGAGACTGGGAGAAATAGATTATATTTCTAATGAAAATTATCTTGCTATTATTTGGAGGGTGGTTGTTTTTGTTTTTCGAACTGGAAATTGAACTCAGGACCTCAGCTTGCTAGCCAGGTGCCCTGCTGCTGAGCTATATCCCTGGCCCTGTCTTGCTATTATTAAGGACAAAGGGAACAGGATAGTGAAGGGCTGCCACATGCTCCTCCTGTAGGCAGAACCATTTCTTATAGATGTGGGGACAGCAGAAAATTGTCAAGTACCTAATGTTCTTATTTCGAGGTACTGGGGACCTCAAAGGTCCCTTGGGCTTCTGCGCAGAGCTACATCCCCAGCTCTTTTATGTATGTATTTATTTATTGGGGGGGTGCTGGAATGGAACCCAGGGTGTTCTGCAAGCTAGCCCCACCCCTAGCTCTTCTTATCTTTAATTGTGGGGCAGGCTCATGTTAGTTTGATAAACTGCAGACTGGCCAGGAGCTTGTGCTCTTTCTGTCTCAGCCTCGCACAATGCTGGGATCTAATTATTGTTTTTTGTTTGTATGTTTGTTTTTTGTTTTAAACTGGTGTCAGGAATCGAACTCAGCACCTTGTATTTGTCAGGCAGACGCTGTACCACTGAGCTGCATCCACGGCCCTCTCATTATAATTTTTGTTTCGTTCAGTTCTGCTCGGGATATCTGCTTCTAGGAGTAGCCTCTTCTAGGTATCATACCCCTGGATGGTGTGGTGTTCGGGCCGAGCAGCCTCTGCAGCGGTCACTCGCTTCTTCCAGGTGCTGAAGACGCGGCTGACCCTGCGGCGGACCGGCCAGTACGCGGGGCTGCTGGACTGCGCGCGCCGGATCCTGGAGCGGGAGGGGCTCCGCGCCTTCTACCGCGGCTACCTGCCCAACGTGCTGGGCATCATCCCCTATGCCGGCATCGACCTGGCCGTCTACGAGGTCTGTGAGCAGCCCTCCCTGCCCTCCCTGCCTCCTCTGGGGTGGGCCCTCAGGGATGCCTCCACCTTCCCCCAGGGGCTGGCTCAGTGGACCTCCCGTAGCCAGGGAAGGGAGTCGTGGGGCAAGCACTGTGGTCGGCCTTGGAGACCTGGGGGTACCCCAGGTGTCAGACTCCCCCACTTCCTGCTGCAAGAGGCTTTGATTGGCAGCTCGGCTGTCTCTAGTCACTGGGAATTGGGGACACGCAAGCTCCTAAGAGCCAGGACAGTAGGCCAGTGAGCCCCAGAGATGCCCACTCCAGAGCCTGTAGCAGATGCAGCCTCCGCCCTGGTCTCCGAAGCGCCTCTGTATGAACAAAGGACCATTTTTATATCAGATGCCCGCCCCCCCACATACACACACCTGTTTTCTTTTGGTACTGGAGATCGAACTCAGGGCCTTCTCACTGAGCTACATCCCCAGTTTTTTTTTTTTTTTTTCTTTGAAACAAGGTCTCCCTCAATCATCCTGGCTAAGCTCAAACTTGTGACCCTCCTGCCTCAGCCTCTCAAGTAGCCGGGATGACAGGTGTATGCTCCACACCTGGCTCTGGGTCACACACCTTTTTTTTACTCTTCCTATTTTACGATCCTCAGGACCTGCCATCTGTAACGACCCTCCCAGTAACCAGGATCTAGACAGCCACACGAGATAACGCCAGCCGCTGTCCCTGTCCTTGCCTTCCCTCATTCTCTTAGCTGATCCTTAGCCAGCGCCCCCTGTAGGCCGGGCAGCGAGCGCACTGCCGCAGGTTTCTTCACCGCAGAAAGCGAGGCCAAATAAGATGGTTGCAGCGCCTCTCCCACTGAATTCTCGAAAGATCTTAAGGCAGGATTTGTCATCAAAAGGAACGGTATCAGGAGGTGGGTGGAGGAGCCGGTGACACTGGGGCTGGTGACACTGGGGCCAGGACGTTGGCGGCAAGCACGCTGCCGGGAAGGAGTGGACGCCCATGGTGTTGTAGGACTGGCAGCCTTGAGCGGCCGCAGGGGATAAGGACCCGAGGTTAGCAAGGAGTCCGCGACAGGGAGCTGGGTTTACCTGAAGTGTGGTGGGAGGCCATTGAGGGTCAGGAGCAAAATAAGATGCAAAGCTTTGGCGTTCAGATAGGGTCTCAGGGTAAGCTGGTCTTCAACTCACAGTGATCCTCCTGCCTCTGCCTCCCAAGTACCGGGATTACAGGCATGCACCACAATATCTGGTTTGCTTCCCCCCCCACACACACACCTTAATGCTAGAGACCAAAGCCAGGACCTCACAGATGCTAAGCAGGGGCTCTACCACTCAGCTACATCCTCCACCCCAAAACAGTTCTTAACAAATCACTTAACATCCATTCAGCAAAAGCTGCTCTAAACCTAAAAGAAGGCTTTTAAAATTTTCAAGCGCTAGGTGTGATAACATTGCAGTCTCAGTTACTCAGAAGGCTCAAATGAGATCACTTGAAGCTGGGCGTGGTGGCACACATCTGTAACCCCAGCACCCGGGAGGCTGAGGCAGGAGGATGGTGGCGAGTTCAAGACCAGCCTGGGCTACAGAGTGAACTTCAGGCCAGCCTGAGCTGCATAGCGAGACCCTGTCTTAAATACTCATGCGCGCACGCGCACACGCACACACACACACACACACACACGCAGAAGATCACTTGAACATAGAAGCTCAAGGCCTGCCTGCATGACATAGCAATGCCCTGAGACTCTGTGTTAAAACAGAAAAACAAAGCCAAGTAAACAGCGACAGTTTTGTTAATTGCAAAGGCAATAAAACACCTGCCCCACTGGTTCCTACTGCAATCCAGGCCAGGCAGTACCGTCGATCCCAGTACCAAGTCCCTCTCTACACAGCCCCTAGTTCCCAGCACACGTTATGGACAGAATTGGCACAGCAAATGGAACTCCAGGTGCAAGTTTGGGAAGGGCTTGTCCTCACCAAGGGCGTAGTGAGCCCAGAATGCACAAAGCCCTGGGATCCACCCCCAGCACCACGAAAGAAAGGAGGAGGGTAGGAAAAGAAAGCAAGGCATTGGCAAAAGGAGGCATCGAGAGGGCTCAGCTGCCCTAAAGACTTTACTCCCCCTGCTGGCCATGGCAGGATCACCACACCAGCACCAAGAGACTGAGGCAGGAGGTTCGCCCCAAGTTCGAGGCCAGCCTGGCCTACATAGTGAGTTCCAAGCCAGCCTGGACTATATAAAAAGACCTTGTCTCAAAAAATAAAAAATGAATTTAGAAAAAGACTGTAAGCACATTTCGGGATTCACGTGGCTGTAAGAGTTGATTACTACCTTGATTTTGTAGCTCCAGGCAAGCAGCCTCTCCAGGGCCTCAGCGTGCCCTGGTAACAGGGCTTAGTACTAGCGGTTATCTTCTTCTGAGATCTTCCAACTGTAACCTGACCAGAAGCTTGTGTAAGCTCCGCCGTGCCCCTCTCTCCTCCCAAAGAGAGGAAGCGTTGTTCCCTCTTGTGGAAAGTGAACAGATGGCTCCAAAAGGCCAACTTTTATCCCGCTTTAAGAGTGAAACACCATTAGAAACAAATCATTAGTTCTCTCTCTAAAAAACAGAGCAGCAGACCTGAGAGGGAGATGCAAGGGCATGTGGTTTATTGAGAGGTAGTGAGACAGGAAAAGAGGCTGAGACAGGAGGATTGAATGCTGGAGCCTAATCTGGGCAACTGAGCAACTCAGAAAGACCCCGTCTCAAAAAAAAAAAAGCTCGAGGTATCACTTTGTGCAGATGCCCTGAGTTCAGTCACCATTAGGGGAGGGGGTGGTGGGAAAAAACCAAAAGAACCAGGCTGGAGAGATAACTCAGCAGACTAAATGCCTGCTTAGGCAAACACCGGGACCAGGGTTCAGTCCCCAGCAGTATATGCAGTGCTGATCTTAGCACCTGGAATGGTGGCATGTGCCTGTAATCCCAACACTGAGGAGGCTGGAACAGGAGGATCACTATGAGTCTGAGCTGCACAGTGAAACTCTGTACCAAATATGTAAAAAATGAAAATTAAAAAAGAACCAAAGAGGGCCAGGCAGATGGCTCAGTAGAATAAGCGCTTTCCTGGCATGCACAAGAGTCTGAGTTCAATCCCCGGTTCCACTAAAAAAAAAAGAAGAACCAAAGAAAAGGAAGAGAAAAAAGGGGGAGCTGGGGAGATAGCTCAGTAAATAAGCATTTCCCTGGCAAGCTCAAGGCCCTGAGTTCAATCCTCGGTACCATGGAAAAACAAAAAGAAAAACTGTGATCCCAGCACTCTGGAGGCTGAGGCAGGAGGATCACTGCAAATTCAAGGCCAGCCTGGACTACAAAGTGAGTTCAAAGGTGGGCTAAATAGCTCAGTGGATTAAAGCGCCTACAAGCAGGCGCAGGGGCCACGGGTTTGATCCCCGGGCCTACTGTACTGGCCCCGTCCCCTGGGGCACACTGAGATGGCAATTGGACTGGCATGGTGGTGCACACCTATAATCCCAGCTCTTGGGAGGCTGAAAACAAGAGGATCACTATGAGTCTGATCTACGTAGTGAGACCCTATAGACCCTTCCCTAAAATACAGGGAAAGAAAAAAAGTTCAAGGCCAGCCTCAACTATGCATCTAGTGACTGTCTTAGGAAGACAACAAAAAAAAAAGAAAAACGCAGGCAGCCAGTAGAGAGTGTGGGGTCTGTTTCCTCATAACAGAGTGTCTAAATGTTATGAGGCCATTTAGATAAAACAACAGAACTGTGTGGGCCCAGTTCTGGGGTCAGAAGCCCAAGTTCCAGTGTTGTGCCGAGCCTCGCCCTGCCTCAGGTGGGAGTCCTCCTCCACTTCTAGCTTCTGCAGCAGGCCATCTCGGCCACGCCTTGAGAGACTGTTCCCGAGACAGGGTCTCAGCGCTGGCTGAAACGCCTGGGCTCCAGCTCGCCTTCTCCCTCCTCCTCCTCCTCTTGAGCGGCTGGGGTGACGGCTCTGTGCCACCAAGCTGGCAGTGTGCTTGGCTGCAGGCGCCCCACCCTCTGCCTCTGTTGTCCCCTGTGGCTCTGGCTCCGTGTGTCTGCTCCTGTTGGAAGAGCAGCAGAATGAGGCATGGCGGCAGAATCCCGGCTACTGAGAGGCTGAGGCAGGAGGCTCCCATGTTCGAGCCCAGCCTGGGCAACTTGGCTAGGTCCTGTCTCAAAAGGCAGAAAGGGCTGGGGAGCAGCGCAGGGGCAGAGCCCCCAGCACGCGCCATCTCCCGGGTTCCACCCCACCAGCACCGAAACCAAGTAAATGAAGACACCAGGGACACTCCCTCATCTTTGCCAGTTACACCCAAAGAGCCTCCTCGCACACCGAGGCTCTGGAGCTGAGACACCAGCACACCCTTTGGGGATACGCAGCGTAAAGCTGCTACCTGGCTGCGTGTGGTGGCACAGGCCTGTCAGCCAAGCTGCTGGGGAGGCTGAAGCACGAGGACTCGTGTTTGAAGTCAGCCTGGGAAACTTTGTGAGAGTGTCTCAAAAAGAAACCAACCTCCTGTGTCATCAAGTAAATAGATAGTGGAGCCCTGGCCCTCTAGGATCAGAGCCAGTTGTGCCAAAGGGGCAAGGGAACAGGGGCTCTGAGGGACTGTTTGTTTGGTTTGGGTTGAGTTTTGTTCTTTTGAAACAGGGTTTTGTTAGTTTTGTTATTTGTTAATTTTGAGACAGGGTCTCACCATGTAATTCAGGCTGGCCTGGAACATGTGGCAATCCTGCCTCAGCCTCCCAAGGGCTGGCACTGCAGGTGTGTGCCGCCACACCTGGCTGTTAGTGGCGAGACCTGATCTCACACTGGAGCCTGGGCTGGCCTTGAACTCATGCTGAGCTCCTCCCCACCCCACCCCACCCCTGGGGCTGGATGACCTCCTGCTCCTTCACGCCCAGCTGTCACCCTGCCACTTTGAGGATGTGTCTAGAATGCCGATCGCTGGGCACCAGGTGCCTGGGCAGAGCAGCCTGAGCTCCCCAGCCTGGAGCAGAGGGCACCCTCCCACAGCTGAGCCAGGCTCCTGTGGCTGTGGTTACAAACTCCCACCACAGTGACTGTGCATCATTTCACACTCAGGGAGGTCAGAAGCCCAGGATGGGGGACAAATCCTCCCCTTGATGAAGTGCAGATGTTGGCAGAGCTGCCTTCTTCTTGCAAGCTGCAGGGATCCCATTGCTTGGCTTTTCTGGCTTTTTTTTTTTTTTTTGGGTGGTACCAGGGATGAAACTCAGGCCCTTGCACTTATTCCACTGAGCTATCTCCCCAGTCCCCTTTCTGATTACTGAAGCCCCAGCATCCCTTGGCTTATGGCCCAGTCTCCCATTTCATGGCCAGCTGTATGTGTATATTTGGGTGTTGGGGATCAAAATTGGGTCTTCTTTTCTTTTCAGACAGGATCTTGCTATGTAGCTCAGGCTGGCCTGGTGCTCACGTTGTTGGACTCACAACAAGCCTCTTGCCTAGTCTCCCGAGTACAGGGATTACAATTGTGCACCACCATGCCCAGTGAAATCAGGGCTTTTCATGTGTTAACCATAGGCTCTGCCACCTAATTCCACCCTCACCTCTCCATCTCAGACCCTTTATAAAGACCATTGTAGCAGCGGGTGGTGTGGCACACCTATCAGTCCAGTGGTCTGGGAGGCTGAGGTAGGAGGATCACAAGTGTGAGCTCAGCCTGGGCAACTTAGTGTCTTAGCCCTAGGTTCCGTCCCAGTTTCTCACACAGAAATGTGATGGAAGTGGACCCCTCAGATAAGCCAGGATGAAGTCCCATCCCAAAGCCCTCGACGCCTCCCAGTCTGCAAAGCCTGGTTGCCTGCCACAGAACCGAATCCTGCACTTGGGGCCTCCTGCCCCACGCC